TTTTGTTATTAAGGCTACTTCCTTGGCTGATTAGATTTTATTAGTTTGTTATTACAGAACTATCACATGAACAGTTTTTTAAGGTTTATAGTTACATGATAAGTATACAACAAGCTACACATACAACTTTAATCTTTGTTTAATTTAAGTAGTCTGCTATATAGATGATCAACCATCTGTTAGTTCTACACTATGCTGCCATACCTACAACCCACCTGTAAGTTATCTATTTAAATACTCTGATCATTAACTCTTCCCCCCATCCTAAACTAATATCACCACTATGACCAACTGCTTAAACTAGCTAGTTCACCTATAGATTCATTCTCTGCATAGTTTAGATCCTCTTAGGATATGTATACCCAACGTATTGTGAGCTGCAGAGCTCTAGTTAACCTCAGAAGTAATTCCTACCAGAGTGGTTATGTGCCCATTTCACAGATTCACCTAGATTAGACCCTTGTTGATGTTCGTACGAACCCAGTTCCTGCTATAGCCATCCATTAAATATAGTCTTCCAAGTTCTAGCTAAATATTTCACAAGGTAGATCCTCTCAATCTAGTTAGCCACCAAGCCAAGTTGGTGTTGCTGCTAATACAAGGTACCAGGCTGCATTACATAGCGGACTTACTTATACCTATTGATCTCACATCCTTCGTACTCAGGTTTTTCACTATATCAGGCATTAACCAGCTTGACTATTGAAATCTGTATTACTTCACCAAACTTGGGATTTCTACTATGCAGGTCCTCTGCTCATAGATCCTATCAAGATTTATTTGTGCAACATAACTCGAACATTGTGTTACACTTCCAATGTTCAATTGATATTAGTGCAACGTGATTTACAGAGTTGTAACCCCCAGAAACGAGCAGAGTTTACTGTAAGTTGAATACAAAGGTCTAGGTAATTATTCAAATTCGTCGACAGTGGGGTTTGAACCTCAGACCTCTTGCATGGCGATCTGGCAACCTAACCACTACACTAAGATTACCAGATTTTTGATTGGTTAATTTACATAACCCTATAAGTTAATTTAATTAATAAATTTTTATACGTATCTTTAAAAAGCTATATCTTACTGAATTTTTAATCAAATTTAATAATTTTACTATTATTAAAATCAGAAAGATCTGCTTTACAAACTTTTCTTATAAATTAATATTAGTTTACTTAATATAATTTTTTATAAAATTAAATATAAAAAAATTTTACCATTAAGTTTATATATAATTTTAATTTATTACCCTCTACCCTTAAACAGAAATATATACTGGTAAAATTTCACCAGTAGTAAATTTTAAACAATTTCTAAGTTTTCATTTTACAAAATTATATTTGTGAAAAATGTCAAAACTTAGAATATGATATGATAATGATTGGATAAATCCCAGCTAGCAACAGATCAAATGTAAATTCTACAACCCGACCCATTAAGGGTGCCTTTTTGAGGCATAAATGTATTTTTTCATTTTTTTAAAAATATATATTTTTTATTCGTATATTGTCATTCTGGCAATAATTTTTATAAATAAAGAAGGGGATCCGCTAGGCTCCTAATTTTTTATTTTTACACGATTGTAAATTGACAAAAATATTAGAATTTGTCTTGTGATCTATGATAACTAATATCTATTTAATTTCCTTTTGACTTACGCTTTCACATTTACTATGGGAATTCCACTAAAAGTTCTCTTACAGCAATAGAGATGATACTTTTTTTTCACCACAATAATTGCCATCACCCCACTGACCTTCTATATAATTATCTTTATGCACTTTATTACACACCGGGAATACTTCTGAACGAACAAAATAATCACCATATTATCATTGCATTTAAAAGATAGAAGTGCATCAATACCACTTTAATTGCATGAGCGCGAAATAAATTCATGCTGATCACTTTGTCAGGCACGCATCTATTATTATTTTTTATTGGTTTCAGCTACAAGATAAAAAAATAATCATATGTCGCAATAAGATGAAATAAAACATCGCAATTTCTATAATGTGAATACAACACACGAAGTCAATCAAGAATATACAATTGCAAATTTTAACTAGTTCGTGATTTCTTAGCGCATTTGAGAGGAGAATAAATCATTCTTGTTGTCATTTTTTGAGAGGTCTTATCCATATCGTCATCATTCCACAAAAAGCCTTGTATAACTTCGGAACTTTCATTCAATAGACGCTAATATATGAGAATATTAGTGGCATATTTTATATTGTATTTTCTATAATTCATTTATACCTCATACTTTAACAAGCCTATTACGGTATCATGGGCATTTTTCATATCTTTCCAGGTCTTTGGAATAGGAATTTTTAATACTTCTACCATTGTGTAAACTTCAGAGTATTTAAGTCGGAATTCGTAGATAATCAACTGATATACTATAAATATCAAGAGCTAGTAACTCGCGAAAATAACAAGCGACACATAAAATAAGAACTTACAATATGACTGCATTGCATATAGCTTAACCGGTCTAATATTAGAATTTGGACGTAGTTCTGCAAATTTATTCATTAAAGTCTTGAGCATTTTTGTGATCTTCATTCTATCTTCTTTGAAATGTGTCCAATCCTGTTTTGACGGAGGTCCGCTGACTTCAACTATGGAAAATTCTTCATCCTCCTCTTTTAATGTAATAATCGTGTCGATCTTCCTACCAGGAGACCTATGTTTATCTTCCTTCTGAGCATTGCAGTCTCTGGTATTCGCTTTAAGGAAAGTACCTCCATATTGTACACGCCAGCTCTTTTTATTTTTGATGAAAAATTTATTAAGAATTGGCGCTAAAACGCTAACTATGTAAGTTTCTTCTGATATGGGTTCAAGAAGCAAGTTTGTATCTTCCATCATTTCTATCCTGTATAAATTATGATTAGTTTTATTTCATTAGAAATTAAAAGATGTAGATAAAGACTCACATGTGATTCACAAAGTACAAAGCAAAGTTTATTTCAAATGAATCGTTGCACTCCTTTTGTTTAAGTTTCTTTTTAGTCATATTAATATCAC